TATATTTCTCTTGTAAATGTTCTTCTATTCATTTCCATTGCTAACGGGTATTCCTTTATTCAGTTGAATTTTGGAGATGCTTATTTAAATAGATACAGGAAATTAATTGGGTGATAATCAATGAATGCTAGTAAATTTTTCTGTGTCATATTGGTAGGTATGTAATCTGTTATTATATTTAAAAAAGATGGTCCCACAGTTTACTGGCGTGAGTTAAAGCTAGTGACGCTTAAGAAGCTTGGGGAATTCAGTCATACATGAAATTCTTGTTTTTTTATTTCTTTAGATAATTCAGAGTCAGCTCTACCTCTCTTCCTTTGTATTGGCTTCAAAAATTGTATTTCAAGGAATAGTGACGAGGTGTAAAGAGTTTACACTTTACTCCAAAGACATCTGCTCGAGTGGGCATCTGCCATCAGGTAAAACTACACTTTTAACACTTTTTGTTTTTAATTAAATATACTCCTAAATAAAAGGAACAAGACACAGAAGCCATAAGTTACATAAGATATGATAGAAGTGTGCACAGGAAAATAACATGAAGTCAATAAATATGTATTAATTGGATGTTACTATTGGTCAACTTAACAGTCATTAATAAGGAATGGGGGACATTCAGAAATGAGATTTTTTTAAGGGCTAATTGAATCTAGCTCTATTTTCCAATGATTTAATAATTGATCATAAGATGACACTATATAAAAGAAGCAAAGTAAGTAGGAGTTAAGGAAGTTAAGAGGTATATAAAGGATGATTTGTAATTAGAAGTATGGAATTATAATTAAAACCAAGGAAGTATACTACAACAAAACAGAATTAAATATTGTATACTGATATAATAACATTATGAACTATGAAAAATAACAACATGAAAACTGAAAGAAGTTTAAGGAGAAAAATTGGCACAATCATCTAATGCTTTTTTTAAAGTCAAGGAAACTTGACTTTATATATTCAATGATGTGCAACATCTGAGAAAATAGCTTGGTATCCATAAGAAAGCAAGTCAAATTTAAACTGTTGATGTTCAAATGACAAATATGCAGTTTCAGACAATGAATATTAGAAAGACATAAGTTTAATAGTTAGAATCAGAGACTCTTAGATGATCTTCTTTAAGGCCAGTATCAAGAGAAATGAGAAAGAGTTGATCATCCATGGAAAGCTAAGATGTAGGTAAAAAATTGTTATCCAAATTATTACAGGAAAAACTTTCATTAGGTACAGGATGTCTGTGGTGGTGTGTAAATAGCTAACAGAGAAAGATGGGTGTGTATGTCTGGGTGTGCCTGACTCTGTGTTTGAGTGTGTAAGAGAAAGAAAAATGGGATGGAATGAGGGAGGGGGGATAGCAGATGTCATTATTATAGCTTTTTACTCCTTTCAGTTTTATATATTGCTGCTGATGCTGATGCTTTTTTTTCTTGGTTCTTTTCTTAATTAAAGTCATGTATTCTTCATTTACTTATATATACCTTAATCAAGTTATATTCAACAAATATAAGTTTACTTTGCTCTTTGTTTAGGATGCTTCTGGGTGACTGCTGCTTTCTAAGGTCAACCTCATCCCAGGCACCTATGCCACAGTTGCCATCAGCTTTAGTCATGATAGCCCGACACCTCTTTAAAACACTGTTAAATGTCTGCTGCAAACATATTATGTACCCTAAGTTTTATTTTTATTTATTTCATGCCAAAACAGACGGCAAAATGAATAAAATACATTTTTTCTAGTACAGATAGATAGTGTAGTGCCTAAGGCACTTGACTGCTAACCAGAAGGCTGGTGATTCAAACCCACTAGCCACTCCTCTGATGGATGGTTGGGCAATCTACTTCCGTAGGATACTGCCTCAGAAACACAAGGAGGGGGCACTATGAGTTGGGTCCGACTCAACAGCACATAACAACAACAACAGTACAGATAGATAATCATAACTATTTATTCAACTTATTGTTTATTTAATAAGCATGCTAAATACCCATTTATGCCAATAGCTATACAAGAAACATTAACAACCTGAGATATGCAGATGACACAACCTTGCCTGCTGAAAGTGGAGATGATTTGAAGCACCCACTGATAAAGATCAAAGACTGCAGTCTCCATTATAGATTATACCTCGACATAAATAAAACACAAATCCTCACAACTGGACCAATAAGCAACATCAGATAAATGGAGAAAGGATTGAAGTTGTCAGGGATTTCATTTTACTTGGATCCTCAGTCAACACCTATGGAAGCAGTATTCAAAAAATCTTATGTCATATTGCTTCAAAATGGGCAGATCTGCTTCAAAAATCCTTTTTTAAGTGTTAAGAAGCAAAGATGTCACTTTGAAGACTAAAGTGCACCTAATCCAAGCCGTAGTATTTTCAGTCACCTCATATGCATGTGGAAGTTGGACAATGAATAAGGAAACTGAAGAAAAGTTGATGCCTTTGAATTGTGGTGTTGGTAAAAAATACTGAAGATACCATAGACTGCCAGAAGAATGAATAAGTCTGTCCTGGGAGAAGCCCGAACGCTTCTTAGATGCTGTCTTGGCCAGAATTCATATCACCTACTTTGGTCATGTTGTCAGAAGGGACCAGTCCCTGACTAACGGTATCATGCTTCATAAAGTACAGGGTCAGTGAAAGAGGGGGAGACCCTTATGAGATGGATTGACATGTCAACAGTGGGCTCAAGTGGCTGCAACGATGGGCTCAAGCCTAACAGGGATTGTGAGGATGATACAGTACCAGGCAGTTGTGTTGTATTGTATATAGGGTGTCTCTGAGTTGGAGCTGACACAACAGCACCTAACAACGACAGTACTATTAGAAATTGGGACTACAGTGATGCACTTCTTGAAGTTGTATCTTAGGCTCTGATGGGAAAGACAAATGTAAAAAATCATTAGAAAGATTACTTAGAGTCAACAATATTATAAGTGTTTCCAAATGATTTTTTTTAGAAGAATGGGGAATTTGGAGCAAAAATTATATTTTGAGTGTAGAAATATCTCCCTAATAATCAAAATAGGGAAGCCACAGGAGGCTATAGGAAAATCAGTGGAATAGTTGGAAAGCCTATGCAATTATCATCCCATTTCTTGGTTCAGCATGAAAGAGAAACATCCGAAGCTATGGTGTTGTTGTTATGTGCCATTGAATCGGACCCGACTCATAGAGACCCCTCCCTGGGTTTCCGAGGCAGTATCACTACGGAAGTAGATTGCCCCATCTTCCTTTCGAGGAGTGGCTGTAAGTATCAATTATTAAATTCAGAACAAACAAATAATAATTAAAGTAGAATGTGTATGAGAACTTCCTTATAGACCTGTGTGATTCATAAAATTTAAGTATTTAAACCTTTTCATTGCAGGTTCTATTGATTTCCTTCCATGAATTACTATAAAATATGTTAAATTTTAAGTGTATCTGCCAAAATAAACATAAAGAAGTTACAGTACTGTTCTCCACATTATTGCTTTCATTGTACTACTCATCCTCTGAGTACTTGTCCCTGTAAAACAGTGCTATCTTTTTGAAGTTTCACTGTTCTAATTCTCTCTATAGGAGTTTCTGAAATTAGGGTCCATGGGCACATTAAAAGACTTTAATGGAGAAAATACTTTCACTCAAAATCAAAAAGTGCACCTAGATCACTGGAAATATCTTAGAAAATATCTGATGTTAAACAAAAATTAAACCTTTGTTTCTGTTTGCATAATTATTTGTCTAGTTTTTCAGTAAGTTTTCTGAAGATATGGGGCATAATTAGGTTTATTTACTTATTTTAAAATTTTTCTTATCAATATAAAAACAATTCTTTTATTCTACATTTCTGTTGAAAAATATACACAAATGGAATGAGGATAGTAAAATGCAGATATTGAGAAGTAGTGGCATCTGCCAGATAAAAGCTCCAGCATCACTTTATACAGAAATGATATTAGGGAACCAAGGTATTTTTAATTTAGTTCATTTATAACTTCAAATACATTAGGCTATACATGGTAATTTGCTTCCACAGAAATGTGTTTCTCTATATCCTTAAAGTTAATCATTGTTTCTCAGCATATGCAAATAATAGGCTATGCCTGTCCTCATCTCCCTCAATAAACACAACATCCATTTGATTGGAACAATTTCATGGCTATATAAAATGCATAAAAATGTATAATTCTTAAGATGGATAGGCCAGTTTGGGAAATGCATTAAAATTAACAAAATTCAATAGACCTATAAAATTCCTTAACCTGTGTGTTTAGAAAATAGAATGAGAGTGAAATATAATATTTTTT